AGAGAGAGAGAGAGAGAGAGAGAGAGAGAGAGAGAGAGAGAGAGAGAGAGAGAGAGAGAGACATCGGTCAAATTAGTCAACATCCTGATGGGTTGGTGAAATCGGATGAAGTCGACCTTTTTTATGAACTTGTATTTAGTGAATATGAAACTCAGAGAGAGAGAGAGAGAGAGAGAGAGAGAGAGAGAGAGAGAGAGAGAGGCTGAAAAAGTACCAAGGGGAAGGAAATGGAACAAATGAGGGCTCCTGGCAAGTGCAAGGCCCCCCTATATCTGTTTGGTTCAGCTGCAACTGCCGGCAAAGCGGTCTGGAAATGCACACACTTGTATGTTCTCGGCATGACAAAGCTTCAACATAAGTGGAGGCAAGGAAATCATTCTAGAAAAATGGTCGGAGATGCACAGCGGCATCAGCAATTGCCAGCTCCAAACCTGCGAACAACTTTTTTTTTTTTTTTTTAATGCTCCCAGGTCTTAGGTGTGATGGTATGAGCAAACACCCCTAGCAAACCTGCAAACAACCTTAAGTGGGGCACAAATGACTTTCCAAATCGGTTTTCACGGCCTGACAACATGAACCCATAACTGGCCTGAAGGTTATGGGCGATTCATGTAATGCCAGAAGCACCACTGCTCAAGCCACACAGGTTCTCTGCCTGAACCCTACACACTACGGAAGTGTGAGGAAGTGTGAGGCCACAAGGGCCACCCAGTCACAGCGAGGCCCAGTAGTCTGACGAGTAAGGGAAAGGGGGGTACTAGCCAAGAAGTTGGGATCCAGGTAGGCAACGGCAGCTAGGAAGCTACCAGCCAGAAGTCTTGGCTGCCGTCCCAGTCCAGATCCCAACCTCCGCTATCTGAGTGAACCTCCGCTATCTGAGTGTTTGCCGGAGTCGCGCTGTGCGTGTGTGTGAACCGCTGATCATGGTCAGTGTGCTGGAATGGGCGGCGAGCAAGTGGTCCCTGGCACAAACCTGTGGCCGTGTATGTTCGTGGTTACGGCAGATGGAAAGGAGGCCTGCGGAGGCCAAAATCAAGAAGCAGAGGCTAGGGTAGCAGAAAAGGTTAGAAATATAGTACCTTTGAGTCGTCCGAGGCAGTAGTCTAGAGGCCCGATAGGCTCAGAGGTAGGTAGTGGTCTGGTAGGCCTAGTAGGGAGCCTGTAGAGGGAGATATGAGACGGCAGTGATGTTCCCGTCAAAGCGGCAGTGATGTTCCGGTCAAAAAACGTGGTTATTGATGCACCGTCGAGGAGAGCTGACTTTGTAGTGAAACTGTGAGCGAGTTCGGTGGAGCAGAAGATGCACGTCAGCAGACAATCGATGCGCACGCAAGGGATAACGAACTCAGTGAAGTCATTGCTTGCCTCCAGGACGAAGACAAGATTGTCGGCGAGGAGTACGAGAATGATTGTTGAAGGTGTGTTAACCCTTAGTGAAAATGGGGTTTAGAGACTCGCCATGGAAACTTCAAGAGTCTGTTCTTAGCCGAGTACCATGGCACTGCGGGACTTCGGATTCAAGAAGTTTGGTGGTTTACGGGCACCTCAGGTTGTGGCAGGGTATAATAGTAATAGGACTCCTGATCTCCCAAAGGAAAGCGGCAGAAGGAATGAAGGCCATCTTGGAAGGAGTTTGAACCCAAGGGTTGTAACCCAAAGGGGTGGGAGTGTTAGGCCTCAAGACCCCTTTAGCAGATGCAGAGGACCAGTGGGGTCTGATCAAAGGCCAGAAGAAGTAAAGACCCGGTCAGGCCTACAGAGGGGCCCTATAGAGCTGACTGGGACTCAGTGGGGTGTGGGCATTACCAAAAAGACTCCAGAAGGCGGTGCCTACCGACTGAACAGGGATTCAGCGCTGGCATTTTTAACCGCCACCTCGCAGCGCAGGCAAAATCGAAAGGGGGAAGGATGTACGTGCGACGAACGTTTAGGGTATTGGGGGGGCTGCCAGCCGAAAAGGAAAAAATTGTGCCCATGCCGGCTCAGTTTTTCTTCGGGTGTGCAGCACAAGCAGCCTTGTGGAAAAAGGGAGGAGGCTCGGACATAGTGGCTGGTCAGGGAGGGAAAGGCTGGGGCAGGTCGAAACATCTTTTGGATGCAGGATGCTGCCAGGCTGCAGGAGAGTGGTGGGTGAAAGCAGTGCGAGCGGCCGAGGGCAGCACCATGGAACCGGTCAGCGCCAGCCAAAGCTGTGCTGACGAAGAAGACCAGGGCCATAGCCGTAGCTGAGCTGACGAAGAAGACCAGGGCCATAGCCATAGCTGAGCTGACGAAGAAGACCAGGGCCATAGCTGTAGGGCGCTGAGGAGACGAAGAAGACCAGGGCAATAGCCGTAGGGCGCTGAGGTGACGAAGAAGACCAGGGCCATAGCCGTAGGGCGCTGAGATGGAGGGGGAAGGTGGCTCTAGAGGGGGAGATGCTTGGAGAAGGGGGTGAAGGTGGTGAAGGTGGTGGTGGAGGGGGTGGGGGGTGGCAAGGGGCTTTTACGTGGAGGGGTTGGCAAGGGGCTTTTACCTGGGGGTTGCGAAGAAGAGCTTCTCCGTGGCATGTTCTTCGAGCCGACATCCGAGGGAGCAGCACGGAACTCGACGGCTTTGTACTGGGGTGTAGTCTATGAGAGAAGATGTTTGACTGCTTTACCCAATGGTCAAACCTTGGTCAAACCTACCTGCTGGTTGACCCGCTGGAGAAGCGAACTATGGTTGTTGTATCGAGTGTTGGAACTTGGAAGTGACGAGGCGGGGGTGCACTCTTGTGGTTCGTCGTCGAAGAGACGACGGCATTCTGATCTTGTGTTTGTGAGATCATTATTGCTTTGATTTTTCTGCTACTACCGTCCTCGCACAAGTCGAACGCTAGGTGATCATTGGTGTATCTAGACTGAAAGTGCCCACAAATACAAATGTTATAATGACTGGGTGTTCTGTTCGGGTGGAGATGGTAGCCTGGTCATCATATTTGTCGTGAGAGTCAGTCAAGTACACAACACACGACAGGTCTTCTTGCATCTGAACTCCGGTGACAAGTGCTCGTTAAGAGAGTTTGCAGCTTGTGATTTGAGTTTGTCCTTTGTGGTTTCCTTGCAAAAAAAGCTACAGGCGGGGGAAAGAGAAAGAACTTCAAAGAAGGCAATGCCGCAAAAAAGAAAAAAAAAAAGTCCGAACCTGGAATCGTTTGCCAGCTTGCCGTCCATTGTTTTTTTTTTTTTTTTTTTTTTTTTTTTGGTGTTATTGTGGCCCAATGGACCACAGATCAGATAATATTAAAGTTAATTAAACTGATCAGAACAGATACATTGCACTTGATCTTTCTTAGCCAAAAGGCCTTGCCGTCCATGTTTGTTTCGTAAACTTTCTTTATACTGCGATGTATTTCCTGTGTGTGATTGCCTTCACGCAGTAAAGAACAGATAATTAGTCTGTTTTTTACTGCGGTGAAAAAAAAATCCGTTCATCGCACTGAAAGCAAACTGCGAAAGGGATGACCTTCATCAACCTGAATCGTTTGCGGGGTGTCATTTGCTTGTGTGTGTCCGAACAGAAAATAAGTCTGTTTGACGTTTGACCCAAGAGCCTAGCTCAGTGGGTACACCATTGAACTGTTGAAATACAGACCCGTGTTCGAACCCAGATGAAGGAACTTGATGCGTAAAACCAAATATTCTGAATTGCCTGGGGCCGGTCAGCTCAATGATTATATCTCAAGACCGTCGCCCTTTTTTTTATTATAAGAAAACAAGTCTGTTTCACACTGCGTGAAGTTCGGTTACTGACGCTTAAAATGCGAACAGCAAAACTGATGGCCTTACTCTCGCGAATCGTTTGCAGGGTATCATTTGCTTGTGTGTGTGTGAAGTTGCGAACAGAAAAATAGTTTGTTTCGTACTGCATGAAGTTCTGTTCCTGACACGTAATGCGAACTGCAAAACTGATGGCCTCGCTCACGTGAATCGTTCACAGGGTATCATTTGCTTTCACAGGAAGTTTGCTAACAGGGATCACAAGGCGGTGTATTACATTGCGGGCCTGTTGGCGTCGGTGTCGCTGTTTATCGAGAAGAAGTCGAAACGCGCCGAACTCGCTCTGTACACTCTTCCGCGTGCCGCAGATTCACTGTGGTACATCCTGATCAACCGTCATATCATCCCAGACGTCGCTTACGGAGAGGTGATGTATCTTGTCATTCGTCGTTTTGTCATTCATCATTGTGTTTGTCCCGTCTTCCCGCGAATAGAATGTACGGTCATTACACCTGTATGTATTTATGGCAGCGTGCAGTCTCCATGCAGCAATGATGACTGTACCTTCTATTCGGAAAAGATGGTAGTTATCTGCAGCGATGATGACTGTATGTGCTCTTCGGGGAAGACGGTTGTGAACTTGTCGCCACATGTTTGCCTGTGTGCTTGTGTCCGTGTGTCTTGTGGTGCTACTTAGTCGTCTGCAGTGAGACATTATAGCCGTATTGGGTGTAAGTTTCAGTCTAGATGCAGTGATACTACAGAGTACATAGTTGCCTTGTAGCACGACTAAGTTTTCTGCTACTCAGTCGTCTGCAGCGACATTATAGCTGTATTTGGTGCAAGTTTTAGTCCAGGTGCAGATACTACATAGTTGACTTGTGGTGATACTTAGTAGGTTTCCGCAGTGCCATGGATCATTCGATATGCCAGTGTACTACCGTATTCGCCCAAATAGAACGCCCGGTCATGACCACTGTACCTTTTTTTTTTTTTAACTCCCCCACCAGTGTTAGTGGTGCTGATAAGAGCAGACACCACTAGCACCTGGGGAGACCACTGTACCTTGACTGAAAGTTGTACCAAATACGGCTACAGTGACTGGGCGTTCTTTTTAAATGAAGACGGTAGGCTTTGCCCCGTCTCCGCTTAGGCTTTACCCGAATTAAACAGCCATCTGAATGGACTTTTTTTTTTACTTTTTTTTTATGGACTTTTTTTACAATCTATGTCGTGTTGTTTTTTCGATTGCTGTTTTCGTAGATCTCTAATATGTAAAGATTTCTGTGCACCAGTTAACCACGCCCAGTCATTATTCCTGTATCCGGTCGGAAAGTTGCACCAAGTACGGCTATAATGACTGGGCATTCTATTCAGGTGAAGACAGTAGGCATTGCTCTGTCTCGGCTTGGTCATTATGACTGGGTCGGAAAGTTGCACCAAGTACGATTCGGGTGAAGACGGCAGGCATTGCTCTGTCTCGGCTTTCGTCTTTACTCGAATAGAATGTCCGGTCAAGACTGTAGTAGTTAGTAGTGGTAGTGGTAGCCATTGTACTCCCGCTAGTGCTGCGGCTGCTTGCTCCTGCTGCTTGTGGTGGGGCTAAAAACTTAAAAAGCCTTTTTGTTTTGGGGGAAAAAGGACAAGCTCCAGTATATTTTTGGTGAGCGGGTCCAGCGTCCCATTCAGAAATACATTATGAGGTGTTCATCCATGCGCAAGTTTCTCTGCCGTCTTCACCCGAATAGAACGGCTGGTCATTGTAGCTGTATTTGGTGGAGCTTTTAGTCTACAGACGCCGTGATAATGACCGGGCGTTCTATTCGGGTGAAGACGGTAGCACTGTCATCTTTGTTTTGTAACTTCTTTTCCCAATGGCCAAAGGGGAAGGTGAAGGAGAGGGGGGGGAAAGTAAAAAAGAACGATGAAGGTGAGCGGAACCTGTGGGCCTGTGGCAGCACTACTGTCATAAAGCACCAGTACACCACACATCGGCCCGTGGGTGTCAGCACGAAACCCGCACCACTTCAACGGTGCCCCACGAAGCACGGCCCCTCGGAGTTTTGCTTGTTGAGACAAAACCTTTCTACAAGGCTGGGGGGCTGTACTTGCGGTTTAAAGTTTAAACCACAAGTACACGGCCCCAGCCTTGCGGTCTGAAACTTGTTGCCACAAGAAAACGAGAGGCTGAAACGTCAAACGCTGGGCCCACCGTTGATGACTTCGATCGGCGGCCCCGTTTTCGTTTCACGCCTCCAGAAATTGAGGTGTCAGCCCCGCGGCCCAGGTGCCCATGTACTGGTGGCTTAAGACAAATAACCCCAAAAAAACGTACGAACGTTCTACTCAACTTACCTCTGAAAATTTGTGAAAAATGGGTTCTCAGAAATCGGCAAATCGCTGATTTTTTTGAATATTTTTTTCCGAATAGAACGGACATACAGTGTATTTGAAATACAATTTACAAAGTTACAAAGTTACAAACAACTGTTGCCTGAGGGTAATGTCAAAATTTTGAGCCAAATCTGAGAAACAAACGAAAACGGGAACAAAAATATTTTTTTTACGGCAGGGACATTCGATTTTCTGATGTGTTAAGAATTTCGATTTTTTTTCTGAAAAAACAAACAAACACTATGGTGTGCAAAATTGCAATACAAACAGCTTTTGATTGAGGGGGTCTTGGTGAAATTTCCAACAAAAGTCGAAGAAAAATAAATAAAAAGAAGACCGGTAGGTCCGGTACTACGGGCTCCTGCAAAGTTGTACACTTAAACTCGTTGTATGGCGTACGTGCGTTGTATTCGAATACAACGTACCTCATATGTTGTATTCATTTTTTTTTTTTCCCATATGTTGTATTCATATACAACGTACGTACGCCTTTTTTTCGGGTTAAGACAGTAGCACTGTCACTCTCCGGTGCGGGAGGTCACCGCATGCATGATTTTCTTTTTTTGGTTTAAACTTTAAATGTGTGTCGTCCTTGCGCCGGGGCCGTGCTACTTTTCTCTCTCTCTCTCTCTATCGTTCCAATTTCAACAGATGTCCGGCAGGGCTCACCGTAGGCGTGTTGATTGTGCTGCTGGTCATGGAGAATGTTGTTGATGTCACCATGACAATAAGCACTGTAGATTCATGCAATTATTTGCAGTATTGTGGACGAAATTTTGTTGATGTCAGCATGGCAATAAACTTGAATAAAGCAAGAGAGATGCCTGCAACAGTGGATAAAACGTTTTTTTTTTTTTTTTTTTTTTTTTTTTTTKTTGAAAAGTTGTCAATGTCAGTGTGAGAATATAGACAGGGAGATGTAGGCGGAAAGCAGTGGATGATAAGGCATGGGCGTATTTGTTTGTGCACAGTGCAGGTTGCTCTCTTTTGTGTGTGCATGGGAGGGCTGATGTATTTCCACGAGCATGAGCCGAATACGATGGCGAAGATGCTTCGAATCCTCATTTCGCGGTTCGTCTGTTCGAAATCCCCGCGCCTCTCGACCCTGAATTCGTTGTCATCTCATCGTTCCAGCGGGGGCCCAGGTCCCACTGCGGGTGCAAATGCCGACGAGACAGCGGATAGGGAGAGCAGTGGAGCGTCCGACGACTCCCCGCGCTGGGATATTACGGCCGACAATTCAGAATCGGAAATTGCAGGGGAGGTGGACAAGAACGAAAGCACACCGCCACTGAGAAAGGCTCCAGTGAGTGCTCAACAGAAAGGTAAGGATGGCGTTCCGCTGAGGGAGCAACTGCTTTACGCTCAGAGTCAAGCTCAAGCTTCAGAAAAGCTGAAGTCAGAGATCTTCCAGGGGTTGTAATCAAGATTCCAGTGTATATCCCAAGCCAGCTGCAAACATGCCGACAGTGGAATGTTTGGCACTCTCTTGTCTCTATTTCAAAAAACTGCATGAGACAAAGTATGTGAACTTGTGTGTATGTCAGAGAGAGAGAGAGAGAGAGAGAGAGAGAGAGAGAGAGAGAGGGTCCGTCAGGCATGTTGGAGGTACTAAAATTCCGGTGTGGGCGCGGGGGGAGAGAGAGAGAGAGAGAGAGAGAGAGAGAGAGAGAGAGAGAGAGAGAGAGAGGGTTTGTTTGGCGTGTCATCGGGGGGCATCCAAGTGTGTGAACCGAAGAACAACAAACGAATTTCTTTGGCCTGATGATCAACGTGGCTGTTGTAGGTTGAGTGATGATATCTGATCTCTTGGCTGCTGCTTGGCAATGGGCCTCGGTCTCACCTGACCGATCGATCGACATGTGACCAACGTGACCAACGTTTCCAACGAGCGAGCGAGAGAGAGAGAGAGAGAGAGAGAGAGAGAGAGAGAGAGAGAGAGAGAGAGAGAGAGAGAGAGAGAGAGAGAGAGAGAGATGCAGGGAGAGATGGAGAGAGAGAGGTGTACATCACACTCCTGGAGGCTGGAGAGCAATCCGACTTCACAAGCCCAATCTGGCGATTTTGAGATAGACTCCCAGTTCAATTCTGCCTCAAGAACCGAAAATGCATCCTTGCAGCCAGATCCCATCCAACGAGTTGCACGACACTTATCATGAAGACTATTGTATTGAAGTATCCATTGTAACCGTCGGAAGTGCATTCTTGCAGCCAGGTCTCATCTGGCTTCTGGGCAAGGCACGGCGCACATGATGATCATCAACTCGAAGAGCAGACGCATTGTGACTGAGCCCCATGAAGGCGCGTACTTGTTGTGATCATCGACTGCCAGGACTCTCCTCTTTGGCAGCACAGCGCGTGTCATGCTCATCTTTCTAGTGTAGCGATTCTGTGTCACAAGCGTCCCTGCTCGTCTGTCGAGGCCCTCCCTCTCCCTGTTGCCTCAAGCATAGGGGTTGATGTTTTTCAGAAGGCAGTCGAAGGTAAGTACGTACATAAGAGGGGGGTTCTGATGTCGTTGTGATCCGATCCTCTACTTGGTGGGCGCATTTGGAGCTCATTATGAATAGAATGAATCAGTCTGTGTTTCAGTACTGGGTACGTGCGTAGATGGTGTTGTCCTCCTCAGAAAGTTACAAAAAGTACTCCAGCTGCAAAAAAGGTGGTGGCAGTGGAATGTGCTCTCCTACTGGACGGAATGTCGTCGAGGAAGATTCTATTTATGGGTGGGTGGTGGCGGCACTTGAGCGAATTGTTCAAGGGTACTGAGACACTGGAACTGGGCCCATGAGTTCTAAGGGCCACCTCCTACTGTAGGGGTGTTGCCACGCAGGGGGGTTGTCTATGTGTGTTGCAATTGCGCAGGGGTACGAGATACTGGAATTGGGCCCCGCGAGTGTGAGTGGCAGGCTTTCCTTTGGTGGTAAAGTTCTATGCTATGCTGTTGTTGCAGGCCTGCTAAGTACGTCCTGCTGTTGGGCATTCAGGTGAGTATGTCGCCGCACAACCCCCGAGTTCGCACGTCGCCGCACAACCCCGAGTTCGCACGAGCTGAAGTCGACGAAACTAGCAACTGTCTTTTCTTCATAGTGACGGTGTGACCTTTTGCGGTCGCTACCGGCCTCGCCACGAGCCGTCATACGTCATATGGCTGTACCACGTAAGCCACTAAGAGATCGACGTAGCCTTCAGGCGAACCGGTGTTTTAGGTGTCGGCAGGGCGGCATCGGTTGGGATCTCGAGTTCTCAGGGGCGTTAGGTGACGAAGCTACCATCCAAGGCTCGTGAGCAACTGTTTTTTTTTTTCCCGTTGTGACCTTCGCCGTCCTTCAGTGTTCGTATTGGTCCAGGCTTGAAGCGTCATGGCCGTACCATGTAAATCGGTATAAAACGGTATAAGATGCGGTATAAGAGCCCCAACGTAGCCTCAGGAGAAGTGGTGTGTTTAAGTGTAGGCAGGGCATCGGTTGGGATCTCGACTCTTATAGATGCAAGTTCGTGCAACTCTTCGCCCTTAGGTTTGACTTCACTAATGAAGAGTATTTATGTCTGGAATCCCGATACCCGATACTAAGGTAACGAAACCGGGGACATCTGAACCTATTGTTTAGGACTGCAAATCGCTCTGGAGGCCGGTGAGGGATTGTGAAGATTGCAGAAAGATTTAGAGAAGGGACTGGATTGTGGAGTGTGAGGCAGGATTGGGCATTTAGGATTTGGAAAGAGGCTTTCGGATGAAGGGGTGTGAAGGATTGCGCAGATGGAATAATGGGGCGACAAAGGAATATATATGAAGAAGAGGATTGGGAAGTAATGTGGGTAAGTAGGGGTGGGGGGAAGGGTCATAAAGGATTATGAAAGATGGAAGAGTTGTGATGAAGGTTTACGAAGAAGGATTGGGGGTTTTAGGGGTCTTAGGGTTTTGGGAAGGAGGACTGGTTGTTTTAGGGTTTTGGGAAGAAGGATTGAGGGTTTTAGGGTTTTGCGAAGGAGGATTGAGGGTTAGGGTTTTGGGAAGGAGGATCGGGGGTGAAGGTTTTGGGAAGGGGGTGGTTGGGAAGGAATACGAAGATGAAAATGCAAGATTCAGGTTTGGGAGGAGGAGGAGGCGGAGGAGGAGGAGGAAGGTCAGGCATGGATGGTAAAGCCAACAGTACACGCGGGTCTGGAGGGGCGCTGCACTGTGCGCCAACCATTTCCGAACTGCCAGCGGGCATTTATTTTTTTTTCTTTTTGGACTGGCACCGCCAGCCATTCTGGTCTAATAAACCCGAGCAGCAGGATTTTCGGATCAGGTGACGGACAAATTTCCGCAAGGCTACCGTCCGTCTTCACCCGAATGGAATGCCCGGTCATTGTCGCTGTATGTAGAATGAAAGTTGTACAAAATACGGTTGTGATGACCGGGCGTTCTATTCGGGTGACGACGGTAGGTAGGGCCGTGTACTGGCAGTCAGTTTCGAGCAAGGTGTTTGTATAACCTTCCTGATTGATGATAATTCTGCCATATATATGTTTTTTTCTGCCCATTGGAAAGAATTTTGAATTTGGCCTGCCTGCCTGCCTGCCTGTGTACAGTTTATGGGCCAATGACTATGATGATCGTAATCGACAGCTCGTGCTGTGGTTGCAGAGCCGCAGTTGCCTTGGGATCTGTGCATCTGGTCCTCTTTTGTGGACCGAGACGGACGCAGAGAGGCACAGCAGTCTGAGACGCAAAGTCGTCTGTTTGCAGTACTGGCTCTGGCCCTACTAAAATCTTCAAGTGGTAAGGAGCCCGATTCTTACGCGGAGGCCCTCCCCGGCCACCCGGCTATAGGTTGATGGTTTTTGTCCCCGTCTCTGGAATCAGTTGGCGGTGTTGGTGTTGCGCATTAGGCACACTTTGTCTTTTCTTGTTGTTGTCCTACAATTTGTATTAGTTCGGTCTTTCGCTGTGCGTTTTTTTTTTCCTGCGAGGCATTCTCAACTGGTCGAGGATGTCGAGCGCCTCGCCAGGCATGTCATTATAAACCACAGGTCCATAGAAAAATGATAGGATATAAAGAATTATACCGCGAGTAACCGAGTACCGACGAGTACAGATCCGAGCCTCTTTTGTACGAGGCGGATTCCCCCCCCTGTGCGCCAAGCCTGGCTGAAAAAAACGCCAGCGCAGCGCTTTTTCTTTCCGTTCGGCCGGCGACGCCAGCCATTTTGGTCCGGTTGCCCCGAGCCTCCGAATTCTTCGGAGAGAGGCCTGTCGATGTTCGTTCTCTACTTCTCAAATTGCCTGGGGCCATGTACTGGTGGTGGTTTAAAGTTTAAACCCGTCGGCCAGTACACGGGCACTTGAGGCCGAGGGGGACCTGACAATTTCAAGGGCACCCGAGGCCGAAACACGACGCTGGCTGTTGGCGGTTGACGATTTTCATCGACGGTGCGCGTGCACTCCCCGAAAGTGGTGGCACACCTTTCTTGTGGCAAGAAAAGTTTTCTGCAAGGCTGGGGCCATCTACTGGTGGTGGTTTAAGGGGCTTTGAGCAGCAGGGTTAAGCATTGGTGATAGACGACATCGTGAACTCAGAGTGCACTCCTGAAAGGCTCTTCTCCTGCTAGCCAAGCTCCCGCCACGTTACGTAGAAGGAGGAGGGCGGTTGCTGTCCATGATATAATATGCTCTGCGTTTAGAAACTTCAGGTTCTTTCTCTTTCTCTTTCTCTTTCTCTTTCTTTGGTAAGATTCTTTTCAATCACACAAGTGAAGGGTCGGAAGTTGTGTGCAATCAAGTGAAGGGATTTCTCTTTCTCTTTCTTTGGTAAAGTTCTTCAGGAGGATGGTTGTACTGTGTGCAATCAAGCGAAGGGATTTCGATTGTGGAAAGAAAAAGATCGAGTCGATGAATTGAATGTCTGTGAACAGGGCCTGCCGCCAGCCCTCTTGATCGTCAAGGGTTGTAGCTTGGCCCCAGCCGGGCGGCGATAGTTGTGTGTGTTGGATTCTCTTCTCTGTGTGGGTCAGTTCTACGAGTTGTCTGACGATTACTTCGTAGTTCTCTCTTCTTTTTTTCCTTCTTTTTTCTTTTTTGTTGGAACAATCTCCGGAGGCAGCTCGAGTTGTTACTCCCTTAAACGATTTCGAGAATCACATCAAAATTCAAAAGATTATTTTCCTCGAATGTCATCAGTCAATGTGTTTGTGTGTGTGGGTGTGTGGGTGTGTGGGTGTGTGGGTGTGTGGGTGTGTGGGTGTGGGTGTTGTTAGACCTCTGGTCTTACAGTCCATTGTGCAATGAACAGGTAAGTGGGGCATTACACAAGAGCATAGCAATATGTGCAATCACTGCATGAGAGCAAGGAATGAAATCGTATCATAATGAAGCCACCTGGAAAACAGAGCTTCAAATACTCATATGTGAACAAAAAATATCCTTCCCTCAAATTAAGGATACTTGTATTGTTCCGGCCTCCTTTTGCTCTTATAATAAAGTAAATTTTTTAAGGAAAAAAAAAAAAAAAGACTCTCATATTGAATGCATGTGAGGACTGTTATACCGTATGCTCTGGATGTCGCCAGCATAATTGTGTCCGCAGATTAGTTCCATCTGCAAGGCTGCACCTTTTGTTCTACCGATCCCTGCTTTGCCTTGCTGCTTGCATTTGCAAGCTGTTCACTGACAACTGCAGTCGAAGGCAACTCTGGCTCGAAGCATCGATACAGGAGTTTGCAGACAGTCAAGGCTCTCTCTCTCCCCTGATGATTCTGTGACAATCCGATGAAACAGAAGTCTGTAACGATCACTGCCCTCTTCTTTCTTCCACTGGTCTTAATTTGAATCAGGTCACCATTTCTGCTTTATTCATGAGAAAAGACATTTGAATCAGGTCACCATTTCTGCTTTATTCCTGATGAGAAAAGACCTTGTGTAAGCATGTCCTGAAGCGGGGGCACACATGGTATCCTCGATGGTACCGTCATACCACGGCTAATGCGCCCGATCCCATCCGAACTCGGAAGCCAAGCGCCGTTGGGCCGGAATAGTACTGGAATGGGTGACCTCCTGGGAAGTCCCGGTGCCCTCGTTTGTTGTCCTCTTCTCTCTCTCTCTGCCTACGGTTTACCGGGCAGTTCTGTTTGTGGTGATATAACAGTTCTATTTGACGATATATATATAATTATAAATAAAAATTAAATAATGGTCTCCTCGTATAAACAGTGGAAGGAAGAAGAGGGCACAGAACAGCTGCAGAATTCTGTTTCACTGGATTGTCACAGGATTATCAGTAGGGAGCCCTTTCGCAGTTGGAGAACTCCCGAGAGTCCTGTGTCGAGGCTTTGAGTCAGAGTTGCCTTGGGCTGCTGTTGCAATTGACACGAGAAGCAAGGCGAAGCATTGAAAGCAGGTGTCCGTAAAGCAAAAGGTGCGGCTGGGGAGCTGGGGAGCGGGTGAGGGAGCACGGAGGCACACAGTGAAAGACTAAGTTAACGCAACTTAACGGAAAGTAGCGAGCCAGGTAACAGAGTGCAGCGTTAAGGAATTTTTAGTTTTTCCAAAAAAAGTTTTCTGAACGTACTCGTTATGGGAGGCTGGGCCCGGTTCCCAGCAAGCGGGTGGGTGGGTAGCGAGGCACACAGCTAAGGCCAACCGAGCGGGCAGGCAGATCGAATGCAGGGCACGTCAAGGGGGCAGGCAAGTAGCAAGGCAAACCAGCACGACCAGGTTCCCACCACCATCCAAGTTAGCGCTTTGACGGAAGTCTCTCTATCACTATCAGGGAAGAGAGACACAGGCAACCCCTCGAATAGTGTTGTAAACAGGCACACTGACTATTTGGCACATCTTGAATGTGCTCGGAGTGGAAATCGAAGAGAATGTGGGAAAAGCCCACAGTTCGCACAAAGTGGACTATGGAAATCAAGAAAATACTGAGAAGAAGAGAAAAAAAGAAACATGTGTGTGTGTGTGTGTGTGTGTGTGTGTGTGTGTGTGTGTTTGTGTGTGTGTGTGTGTGTGTGTGTGATGTCGGACAGGGCTGCCGCAAGTCGCCGTGAGCTGCGTATGTTTGAACACGATAACGCCAATAAGTTCATAACAACATACCCAAAACTCAATGAACCGCACCGAACAACTTCAATTACACAACCCTTTTAAGAAAGCTAAGACTCGCGCATACATCAACCTCGTTCATTCACCTGTCCCATCATGGGCAAGGGGAGGCGTATGGACAGATGAGCAGCAAGCAGCAGGGCAAAAAGCAGTGAGGCAATGTGTTTGACAAGAAGTGGGAGCAAAGCACAAAGGTGGAGGGTGTGGGGGAGGTGGGTGGGCAGAGAAGCAACACAACGGGGGAGGCAGGTGGACAGATTAGCAGCAAACAGTAACTTAAACCACCAGTACTTCCTAAAGTCGCGCCCGTTAACGCTACGCGATTTTTCGTCCGAGTTGCACCAACTCATCAGGAGGATGAACCCTCGTCCGTATTTGATGGTTTGGGTCATGAACCCTGTGACCCTTGTTGAAGGCAGACTATCTCCAAACGGAACACAGCAGCAGGCAGCAACCCAGTGAAGCACCAGGCCGCTGCAGAGGCAACACGGCTGCTCAATGGCAAAAAATAAAAAAAGGAAAAACATGATGGCAAGCGGATGCGCAGCGCAGCAACCACGCAGTGAAGCCCAAGACAACCCCAACAATGCAGCGACACACATAGCAGCAGGCACCAACTCAGTGAAGCACCGAGTAATGCTGTTGAAGCAACCCAACTGCACAGCGACAAAGACTACCACAAGGAACGGCAAGGTAAGCGGGCGGGAAGCATGGAAACCATGCAGTGGAGCACGAGGCAACACGAACAAGCCAACCAAACTACAAGGCACACTAGCAAAGGACACGGAGGGCATGGCCAGCAGCAGACGGGCGGCAAGGCAGTGGACCAGTGAAGCATAAGGCAACACCAACGACACGGCCACACCACACAGCGAACACAGCAGCTTGCCGAGAAACACCTGCGAAGCAAGCGGAATGGGCAGCAAGGCAGCGGTGGAGCAAATACAAGGCAGTCCACACATCCAACACTGAGCAAAGCGGCGCATCACCTACTCAGATCAGGGGTGAGCTCCTCAGAGTCGGCGTTGGTTCCCACCACCCACTGAACTAGGGAGTTCACTCCGATGAATATCCGTCATCACCCGTAAGGCAGACAGACATCCAGAACTGAGGGGGCCCCCTAGAGTGCCTCAGGCACTCCAGAGTCCAGACCAGGAAAAACTTGAATAGACTATTTGGCACAGCTTAAAGGTGCTCAGTTGGGCATACAAAAAATAAGAAAAGCATCAAAGAAAGAACAAACAACAAGAGGAAGATAGACACACATAAAAGTGATTGTGTGTGTGTGTGTGTTGTGTAGGAAACTTGTTTTTTTCAACTTTTTTATTGATTCCCCCGAGGGATATCATAAGATCATCTGCACACAATGAGTTCACAAGGACGGCCTCGCTAGGAATTGCATTAAACCACCAGTACATGCCAGCCATTGGCAGCGGCCCCCTTTCGGAGGCTTCCCACCCTCTTATCTATTTTATCGAAGGCGCGCAAGCGTCCTAATTTTTAGTAGAGGCTCAAATGGACTCTCAACTTGGCTGGGGCCATGTACTGGTGCTTTAAACCACCAGTACTTGGCCCAGCTATCGGCCGCAGAAAATAAAAGAGTAGAAACGTTTCTAGTCGGATGTATATGCTCTCCTGTAGTAGCCCGTACGTTTCCGAAAACCCTGGCGCGTTAAAGGGCGCGCCTCTAGGAAGCACACTGGTGGTTTAACAGCCTTGAAGATTAGTGCTCTGCCAAGTCCTTCGCCACGCATCCATGACAAGGGACAGATGCTGGGCCGCAATAGGTTTAGCATTCTACTCTCTTCTGGATTCAGAATCTGTGTGCCCTCCTGTTCACCTGTCTCTGCTGCGGGAGGAATGGCGTGGGGAAAATTTTCTATTGTTTTTCCATTAGTGTGCGAGGATTTACACCTTACGGACATCAAAAAAAAAAAAAAAAAAAAAAAAAAAAAAAAGTTTTTGCGTTTATTTTTGTCGGAGGGACGATAGGGAAAAAATGCCAAGAGGGGGACACAAAAGATATTTGTGCTTCCTTCATGCCCACTCCTGGCAAACCCAACTGGCAACACACCCACATTACCCATCCCCGCTAGAATAACTATAGGTAGGTGAAACCTTAAGCACATTAAACGTTCTTCGATGATATGCCCATGCACAGCCGGGCTGCCGGGATGTACTGGCCTGCTGGTTAAACTTTGCGAAAAAGACATTCAGGCAGAGCGTGTTGCGCGCATGGCCTATTTTGCCTGGATGTATTTCTCACGCATCGGCAGGCTGGTACATCCCGCCAGACAGAGTTTGTGGTGTAGCAGAAAAATGACCGGGAGAGGTACTGATGGCTTCTGATGTCTTTTTCACCTTAAACCACCAATATATAGCAGACCTGTTTGTTCGTGTCCGAACGAACCAAGCTTGTCTCCGCCAACCAGCGCAGCCGGCTTTCATGTGGCCACAAGTTTCACAGGAGGGGGCCTGAGGGGGGCTCATTCTGGTGGAAGAATTTTCCCATCAACTACTTATCATACCAGCCGCAGGCAGGACGACACACCAAGAGTGTGGCACCCTTGCAGGCAAGGCCCACTTTGATCTGAAGAGAAGAATTTATTTTCCTTCTTTTTTTCTTTTGCAAAAACAAAATTTGATTGCAAAGCGGGAACCGGGCCTACGTCTTGTACCATAGCCAAATGGAACTGAGGCAGCCACTCCCGGCCAAGTCCAACCCGACCACGGCTTATGAGGAACCCTCATAAGTTGCCTGCAAAT